GCTTTTGCAACCAATTCTTTAAGTGTTTCGAAAGCTTTTGGATGTTTTTCAGTCTAGTGCAAGAGAACACATTTTTCTCAAGTAACTGTCTTAATGGTGCTGTGTTAAACTGTCTTAATGGTGTAGTTAAGTTAGGAATAAATTTGGCTAAATAATTAATCATTTCAAAAAATCTTTGTAGAGAAGGCACATCTGTAGTTTCTGGCATTTTAACAATTGCTTCCACTTTAGAAAAATCAGGTTTTAGTCCATTTTCACCTAACTCATGCCCTATAATTCACATGATTAACTTTTATTTTACATTTAGCTTTATTGAACTTCAGTTTATTTTCTCGTGCTCTCTGGAGTACTTTTTAAAGTCTTATTAGCTCATGTTCCCTTTCATTAGATCCCCTTATTAAAATATCATCTATAATAAGACCTTCTATTATTTGATTTGGCTTAATTTGCTTTTGCAAATTTCTGGAGCTGAACATATGCCAAAAGGTGATCTTTTAAATTTGCATCTGCCAAAAGGTGTATTGAATGTACATAAATTACTACTTTTGTCGTCAAGCTGGATTTGCCAAAAAGCACTATTAGCATCTAAAACAGAAAATATTTGTGCATTTGGCATTCTAGTGACAACTTTGTTAATGGTTAACATAGGATAATGTTCTTGTTTTATAGCTTTATTTAAATCTTGAGGATCTAAACATATTCTTATTTTGTTAGGTTTGACAACTGTGACCATTGAATTTACCCATTCAGTTGGTTCTCTTACTTTCTCAGTAACATTTAAATTTTCCGTTCTTTGTAATTCTTTCTTCACTTTATCTCGTATAGCTATGGGTATTTTTCTTGGAGGATGAATTACTAGTGTTGCATCTTGTTTTAACTAGATTCTGTATTCTCCGTTCAAACAAACCAAGCCTTCAAATACGTCTTTGTATTCCTACAGTAAGTCTTCAGTGTAAACAGACATTTGTTTTTGAATCAAACCTAGTTGCAAACATGATTTTAATCCTAATATAGAAGGTACTTCTTTGTCAATAACTTAAAATTCCACATGACTATTTTTTCCATATTGGCAGTTAAGTATTACTTTTTTTAAAGTATCCATTTTATTCCCAGAGAATGTAACTAATCTTTTAATTTCAGATTTTTGTATAGGAACATTTAGCAATTTCACTTTGCTTTTAGAAATAACATTGCATGTTGCTCCAGTATCTAGCTGCAAATTTAGTTTACTTTTATTTACATTAACGTCAACAGTCCATTTCTCTTCTTTGTGATCTGAATTAAGGTTTAATGTGCCCACATAAAATTCTAACTCTTTCTCAAGAGTCATGATATATTAATTTATTATGTCTGTCTTTTTTTGTTTAACTTGACTGCTTGGTTTTTTTTATTATATAGCTTTTACACTGATTCATGAAATGATTTGCCTTTTTACACTTATGACAGATTTTTCCATATGCTGGACACTTTCGATACTCATGAGATGTTCCACATTTAGAACAAACTTTTGTCTTCTCAGTATTTACCTCTTTGTAGTTATTCTTATTATGTTTACTTAGTTTCTTTTTCACTAAGTTTACAAGTTTCCTCCTCTGTTATGATTCTCATTTGATGTGCACTTATTTCAGCAGATCTGCATATATTAAGAGCTTTTTCTAATGTTAATATTCTGTTTCATGTAACAATCTTGCTCTCACTATATTTATTGGAAGCTTTACTACATGGAATTATTATTTATTACATGGAAGCTTTTTTTCCCGAAGGTCAGTTACATATTCATCTATGGTTTCTAACGCAGTTTGATTTCTAGTAAAGAATAAATGTCTTTCATATGTAATGTTTTTCTTAAGAATACCTTCCTTAAATTTTGTTTTAATTTCACTTAATGTAATTTCTTTACATTCTTCTATAGGAAATGTATTATATATTTCAAGACCATGAATTCCTATTACCTGAAGAAAAGTATTAACTTTTACCTTCTCTTCTTTATTATGTAATCCACTAGCTACTTCATATATTTCAAATGATTGCAGCCATCTTTGCCAATTTAAAGTAAGATTTCCATCAAATTTCATCTGCTCTGGTGGTTTTAAACTTTTCATTTTGAAAGCAAAATACTCCTGACATCATATATAGTAATGAGGGTGCACTTTTGGTTTTTAGAAACCATTTTATTCATAATCATAGAATGTATAATATTATAGAGAACTGCAATACCAGCATAGTTCCATTTTCATATCTGTATCCAAAGTGTTGCCAATTCAAAGTTACTAAATATTAAATGTTGCCATTTACAAATTATTAAATATTAAACAAGGGAAAAAATTGCTGAGTTTTAAAATAGTAAGTGATAGAGTAACTTTGAGCTGCTCAAACACATTCTAAGATATTCAGATGTAAGGGAATGCTGATTTTCTCTGATGTAGGAAAGACAAGTCTTTAAGTTTAGGAAAGATTTTTGAAATCTAATTGTTACAATATGCATTTATCTGCTTGGATAAACATGGCATTTTTAGAATTGTTCAGCAAGAAATTTATATAATGAGGTAATGGTTTGATGAAATTTATTTACCTCTCCAGAAAAAGAAGCAATTTTTATAACCATTCATGCTGTATGTTCTAGTTATCATAGTACTTCTGCTAGATAAATTCTTTTTAATAACTTCCTGAACTGAAGTCACTGAGCCATCATTTGGTGTTGATCATATCAGCATTAGCATTGAAACACTCTCGGAGTTGAGGGTCCTCAAAGGTTGTTGCATCAAAAATGGTGACATGAATTTTGGTTGAAACCTGTAATTTTTAATTCAGTTTGTGAGACTTTCATCATGAGGTGGATTCTTGGCATATTTGCATGTACATATTATGGGCAGTTCATCCGTACATATGTAGTACTGGACAGCACTTTATAGCATGGACAGGTACACATATATACACATAAAGCTAATAACAGTGTTTCTTCTGGTTTGCAGTGTAAAATACATAAGTTCGCTTCATGACATTCTCTTCTGGTTTCATGTGTTCTGTGTGTCACATGACAGAGAAGTGAATGCACATGTTGGTTGGGCCTAAAGTGCACATGAATGTTGTTTACTAGAACACGACATAGGTAATCTCATTTCAGAATGAATGAAATTAAAAATTGTGGTGAAAATGGAATAGTACAGGGCTTTTTTAAAAATCATTTCTGCTATTGAAAGATTTGAAAAGGTCAGTGAAGAAAATGTGGTGCAGTGATAGGAGAAAAGAGAATGGTGAAGATTATCAAATCAAGGAAGAGTGAGAAGAAGGAAATAATGTTAGAGATGAAACAGGAAGTTTGGGTCTGAGTGGTGCACTCATATGTGCAGACAGGTTTCTAAATCAGGAGAGTTAATGTTATTGTGATGTCATACATTTGCCAAATTGCCCAAAAGAATGTCCGTATGGTTTGCAAGTAATGCAATATGTCATTCTGTTCGGGGGAAAAAAAGAAATCCATGCAATAATTATTATTCATTTAAAACGTTTGAAGAATTCTTTTCCAGCTGTTTTTGATTTTGTGTTTTTTCTTGTTTTTAATGATCTTTGTTATAATATCAGTAATAAATTGTTCAATACTTTGCCAGTTTCAATGAATATTTCAATGATTTGCCAGTTTCAGTGAATTAGATTGTACTTTCAAGTAATAATATACTTAATGTAGTAGCATTAAATAGGGATTTATTTTTCAAACATGGTTAGTTATTGCATAAAGGAAAAAAACTAGATCTTTTGTGTATTTTTCTTGGTAAGACACTTTAAATTTTTAATAAAGGAGTTATTTTCATAATACTTCTGGAAGTTACAAACATTTTAATGATACAGCATCTTATTACACCCAAACACTGTCTTGTAGCATTCTGAAGAAGTATAATCAGCTTCCAGTACTTAAGATTTTTAATTTCTTCTGAACGACAGTTGTGAACAAACGCTATAGCTATGCAAGTAAATTTTCATGGTCATGTTCTTAAAAGATTGAATCAAGTTACATACATTTACCATTTATTTTGCTGGGAAGGGCTTTCCCATTTTTTTTCTATCAAAAGAAATTTTGTCATACTTAAGATTAATAGGTAAGAAAATATTCATTGAAAATTTAGCATAGATTCGTAGTATTTTTAAACTTCACTTTCTGAGCGCTGTTCCTTTTCCTATAGGAAATGGGCAAAAATTGCTTATATGATTATGAAACTTAAAATTATGAATTAAAATTAAAAACCTGTTGAACAAAATATGTTTAATTTCAGATTTTATTAAGGGTGAAATGTAATATAGTTTTTTTCATTTTTTTTAAACAAATTAAACTCAAGAACTTAGATGTTGTTTTTGAAAAGGAAAAGAATGCTATCACCATGTCCAAATACTGCAACAAAATTTAAAGTTAACTAAAGAATATAGATCATTGAAGGTCTTGAAGCATGAAACTGAGTTTTTAGCCTTATCTTATGCTTGAACATTAATTAGTATTTGCCTAGTTTGGATTTTTTAATATTTTGTAAGTGGTTTTACATTTTTTACTTTGTAATATATTTTTAGTATAAGTAATAATGAATTAGTAGTTAATGTTCTGAATGAAGCTTGTTGGAAAACATATTTAGTGCTCTGTTTGGAGGAACAAATTTTTAAATTATTAATTTTGTTTAATACTTTGTTAATGCTATGTAAAGTAAAATGTCTTTCTTGAAATTAATGTAATTGGAATTTGAATATCAATTCTGTGATTTGAATTTGCCATATAAATTTTCGATCATAAGCTTTTTTAAAAGTATTTAAATATTGCAGTATACTAGATTTAAATGTAAGATGAGTATATTCCCTTTGTTTTTTCCCCTTCAGTGATTAAAGAATAATGAATCAGGTAGTAATTCGTAAAACTAAATAAATATCATGAGATTTTGGATGTCATGAAGTATACATTTTTCTGCTAATGGTATCATTTTCTTCATCATTCTGTCATCATTCATGATATCATTTATCATTCGTGCACAAACTTTTGTTTCAGGAAGGTCTTGGGGAATCACCTCTTAACAGAAGTCAAGAAGGAACATACAGCTCAAGTCGCCGTAGTAGTCAAGAAGATATAAGATGGCCAAGCAGTGAAACAAGACCTTGGAGTAGTACAGATTCTGATAGCTCTGGACGTCCTTTGGGAACTAAGTTAAGCAGCAGTTTTGAAACAGATGTATGTATTCATATATCTTAGTAACAAAATATGCTTCTTATTCATATTTTTTAGAGCAGCATTTTGTGCATTAGTAAGTTGTACTTTGTTCTGTGCCTGTTATGGCGAAATGACCCATATATTGTCGTTTTCTAATGAAGCATACCAACATTTTTTAATCTTTTATTTTCTTTTATTATTAGTATATGAGAATAACTAGTACAAAGTCTGAGATCCGGACTTGTCGGGACATCGACAATTCCAGATTTGGGATTTTTCTGTATATTAGATCATCAGTTTAAAACTTATAAGATGGCATGTAGAAATAATAAAATTAAAAATATGAAATTGTGATTTATGAAATAATGAAGCCTTTATGATCTAAAGGATAACAATATTTAGCCAAGAAAGGGCTTAATATTTATTTCTTTACTTTATTAAATATTTATTTCAATTTAAGTTGTTTTTTGTGCTATTCTCTTTAATTCTGTAGGCAGAAATAATCTCTTATTCAGTTACAAAGTTAAATTGTTCAGGTCCTGTAATTGCTGTGACGAGAATTCCGACTAACTTGTCAATCGAAATATTTTTGTTTTCAATAACCTCTCTGTCACTTTCTTTACTACCAGTAGCAATATTTTCTGTATCTAGAACCATACTTCAGATTTTGCCATCCGTTAATTCATTGATAATTGAGGCATTGTTATCGCAATGAAAAATTCAAATTGTGCTTAAATTAAAAACTTCTAATACAGTACAAAGGCAGAGATCCAGACTCGGGACTTTGACAATTCCGGATTTGGTACTTTTCCGGATATTAGATCATCAGTTTAAATTTAGTAAGATGGCATGCTGAACTTATAAAATTGAAAATATGAAAACGTGATTCATCTAATAATGAACATTTATGATCTAAAAGGTATCAAAAGTTACCAAAAATATCTTAATATTTGTTTAGTTTATTAAACATTTCTTTCAATGTAACTTATTTAAGTTGCTTCCTTTTTTTGTGCTAATACTTTCTCTTTAATTCTATAGACAGACATAATTTCTTGTTTAGTTACATTGTTTAAGTCCTATAATTGCCGTGTGGATAATTCCGACTAACTTGTCGTTTTCAGTAACCTCTCTGCCACTTTCTTTACTATCGTTAGCAGTATTTTCTGGATCTAGAAGCATACTACAGATTTTGCCATCCATTAATTGACTTATGATTGAGGGGCATTGGTCATCACAATGGAAGCTTCTGTTATATCATCTTCATTTACTACTGCTTCTCCATGTAACCTTGGTAAAATCCGTTAACTGTAATATTTCATCTTTGGTTTGCAATATTCGAAAATCTTTTAAAATTCATGGCCATCATCATAAAAGTTCAGCTATCTTTTTCACTATACATATTTGGCTATGTATCATGAGATTGGCGACTAAAGACAAGTTCCGCTAAATTTTATCTTGCTTCTATCGCACACTGAGACAATTAAGCTTGACCTGTATTTGTTACTTATTATATGTATGTCTATTTCTTGCACATGCTTAAAGCGCTTATCCAAGTCCTAAATAAATAAATTCCCACATATACTTAAAGCTTATTGAGAGCAGGCACTAGATATCTTACTGCCTATTGCATTCTCTGTGGGTTCTAAATTCTGCTACCAAGCGCCTTCCTTAAATTCTGCCACCTGGTGTGGCCATACGAGCCCTGGTCCCGGTTCTGCTTTTATGTGAATAACAAATCATTTGTTCTTAATTAAAATAGCACTAAATGTAATCTTTATGCCTTGAGTATCATTAAGAAAACTGTAACTAAGTGAAAGTTTATTCTCATTATTGTATGAAGATTTTGAGAATATCTGAGAATATTTGAGAAGTTGTCATATGTTAATAAGCATGCAGTGGTGAAATCAAAATACAATAAATAATGATTTGCCAGGTTGGCATCAGGGATATAAAATATTAGTATGTGCAAAATCAACTATGTTACATATGTAGAATGTTTCGGTTTGAGATGTATGCCAAGCAGATTTGCAGCAACAGAGCCAAATGATCGATCATACAAATTTATGCTAAAATGATTGTTTCTTCAATAACGAGGTATTTTATTTAGTGCTGAAGTGAAATTAAGAATCAGGACTCTTCACATGTTTTATTATGGCCAGGGGGTATCAAATGCGCATCTCTTAAGCATACAAAAAAAAGTTGGTGGTGGCTTTGAGGTCCAGATTTTTAGATCTTTCCAATTATTGGACGTCCGAATCTCAGACTTTGTACTGTAACTAAGTGAAAGTTTATTCTCATTATTGTATGAAGATTTTGAGAATATTTTAGAATTCATCCCACATCAGTTTGAAACAAAAGGAAGTAAAGAATGAAGTTATGTATTTTATGCAACGTTCTGTTTCTGACAATAAGTAATTTAACATTTACCTATGTATTTGGAAGAAGAAAAGGCTAATTTTTGCTTCTGAACATGTGACTTGTAAATTGTAGAAAATGGATGTAAACACTTGTTATGGTTTGAACATTGTTGAAGACTACTCATGAGATGAAACTTTGTCATGAAAAAAAAAAAAAAATATTTTATCTAATAAGCATTATTTTGATAACCTCAGCGCATTTTTTATAGTGAGGCTATTAGGTTTCTCCTTTGATTATCAATAATATTACTATGTGTAATTTTTCTTGTAAAATTCATTAAAAAAAATTTTTTTTTGGCTAAATTTTGTAAGCTATCATTTGGATTTTGTTGGGCAATTGAAATTAGCATGGTATTAAGGCTGTACTTATTTTTTGGAATTAAGTTTTATAACCTGAACAGTATGTTTCAAGTCATTTTCAATCCAGATAATGAATTTTAACTTAAATGATTGTGCATATATAATACAGGGTTTGTATAGTCCTTAAAAGTCCTTAGTTTTTTTAATTGATTGTTGGTCCTTAAAAGTCCTTAATTTCGACCAAATTCAGCAGGAGGTCCTTAATTTTAATCACCTGAAATTTCTGTCTGTTTTTACTATTGCCATTTTGAATGTGAATTAACATTTTGGACCAATATGTTTGGTGATTCATTGACAAATGTAACCGAAATATAGTTAACTTTTGAATGGGTGAATAGGTTCGTGGTTCTAGATAACCGGTCTATAACCGGTTCTAGATTTGTTGACTTGTCAACATTTTGGCAATTTATTATTTTGTCGATTTCTATATTTAGTTTGGAAATCTGGGAATTTTTCAACGATATTTTTAAAAAAATATTACACTCAAAAGTCGTTAATTCGGACACCCATAATCCGGAATGATCTATAATCCAGACCTCAAAACTACAAAAGCGTCAATGCATTGATGCATGTGCAGAAAGCATGCGCGTAAGACCTTCGGAGCCGTAAAATTAGCACCTTTTTCATATACATTCTAAATGCATTTAGTTTTTTAGAATAATTGAAATCTTTAATTAAATCCAAAAATTCTAAAAGGAAGGGGAAATGAATTAAAGAAAGAAACCAAATAAATAAAAAATTATTCTTCAAAGATATGTATAATTATTATTATGTAAATTAGCCAGTTGTTTATAATTTCAGTCTTTACTGTAACTTCCCCATTCCTTTTCCTCACCAGAATGCAAAATCAGTTATATACTTTCTAAACTAAGGATTTTGTATTGTAAAGCAGAGTGTGTTTCTGGCTATGACATCCACGTTGTATTAGTTCCTGCCAGCTCTGATAATTTGTAATTATTTGTCTTTGGGTTATCACTGCTAATATTTGAATTTGTTATGCGGTAACTACATTACGATGAGTTATGAATTTTTACGACGTGTTACTGAGCCAGCTTAGATTAAAATTAAATAGTGTAGTCCTTACTGTCTTCTACTTTTTGTTTGCATCAATATTAATTAATAGTGTTCTAAGAAACACTTCATCTAGGAAATTGGTGCTCGCAAGTGATATGTTTTGTGTTTCCTGTTCTTTATTCTTTTCAACATCATTGCTCTTTTGAATGGTGGGCAAATCCGGACACATGACACCCCAATGTCTTTTCGAGCATACCAAACATCGTACATTTGTCTTGCATTGCTTGGCCCTGTGTCCCAATTTTGAGGCAGAAGCAACCCTTCTTTTTCTTAATTTTATCATTCTTTTGACTCAGATGCATCTTCTGAACAACAAAGCAATCTCGACTTTCATGAATTTTTCACAAAATATGCAAGAATTCTTCTCACTATAAATGGTTGCTTTATTATAACCTGAGAATAAATCATTTGCTGTGGGCACGAAATGTTCACTCTGGTACTTTTTACCTTTTCTACTTTCTTTCTTTGCACCCAAATCAATTAATTTAAATCCAGCTTTTGCGGAAGAAATTCTCTGCACTACTTCCACTTCATTCTTTAAAAACAATAATAATTGTTTCAATTTTTCAGAGTGAGACTTTTCTGCTGTAATTATTGATGCATGATTTCTAAGCCAAACTCGTAAAATTTCCTCGGGAATGCAAGATTCCATGAGCAGAAACAGCATTGCAGCGTATTTATCGCTTGTCATTCTTAGTGACTCCAACGAACGTAAATACGACTTTAACTTGTCACACAATTCTGATATACTGCATTTTCCCTTTTGATCAGCGACATTTTTAATAATCAAACCTAATAATTCCCGAATATAAAATTCTACCAACAATTCTTCCCTGTGGAACCTATTTTTTAAGCTTTCTGTAACCTTTTCATAATTTTCGGCAGTTGCAGGGAAGCTATTTACAATATCACGCGGTCTCATACCAGGTAAGGTCGCTTGAACGAGATAATGCATCTTATCCTCGTTTTGAATTTCTTTATCTTCATGTATTTGCCGAAATTGCCCCCAAAATGGTAACCAATCTTTTATTTTGCCACCGAATTGTTTTAACTCTATTTTAGGTAATTTCAGTTTAAGTTTGTTCGAATTCGGCAGAACACTGCTAGTAGATTTTATCATTTGGCTGTTGAGGAATAATTCCGATTTTACTCGTATTAAGTCTAATTTTTCTTTGTATTCTTAAACTTTCGCTTATTCATTTTCAAACTGATCATTTGAAGAAAAATCTGAATTTAATATTTGAGTTTCAAATGCATTAAGTTCAACAGATAAATGTTTTAAAGTAACAAGTTTCGTTTTTATAAATTCTTCATCAGGAATTTCTTTTTCTAATTCCATCAAAATTGCATAAATTGTTCTCGTAAAAGATGCTCTGATAGGTTTCTGTTTCTCAATTAATGATTCCATTTCAATAAAAATAAGTTCAATAAAGTCAAATAGAATTAAATTCGATAAAACAAATAAAATTACCTGGACTTGTTTTACCAATCACTTCCGTGGTCAACAAAATTGTTTGAGATTTGCAAGAACTACCCATTCTCCTTTCTCCTAATAAACTTAAAATAAAATAACTTTACATATAAAATTCCAAAGCGTCGTATTTATTTTCAAAATCCATAGAACTACAACAAAGATCAGATGGTTGCCATTCTTACAGTGACAAACTATGAAAAGAAAGATAACAACTGAGGCTGGGTTCTAACACTGCTATTGAAGTGTATGGACAGTGCAGCTAAGTGAAAATGTATGGAAATCATATTATGCAGCATGACTGCACTTCCGTTTTGAATAAATGAGGCTGTATTGTAGATGCATTTTCTGTAAGTTTACAGGATACCCTTAGGGAGAGAAGGTCATGGAACTTCAGATATATTTTATACTTATGCTCAAAAGCAGGTAAATTTCAGATCTACTGAAACCTCTGAGAAAGTGTATAAAAATATTTTTTATAAAGTTTGAACGTTAATGCTTGTCATTCCTTTATAGCATTTATCTGTTTATTATTTAAAAGGTTTATTAAAGTATTTCTTCTTTTTAGACACCTGCCCAAACTGGAAAAAGTTCTTTTGCTGTTCTGGCAAAAAATGAGAATGAAAATAAAGCTTTCTTATTGCCAACTAAATCGCCACGTCCTGTCATAACGAAAGCAAGTAGTTTTGGGGGTATTTCTGTATTGTCACGGGAAAATTCATGTGGACGAAATAATACTCCAAGAATAACAAAAGCAGGCAAGTTGTTGCAAATGAAAACTGTTTTTCTGCTTGTCATAGTAACTATATGTTTTTAACAAGTTGTCATATTGTTTGTAAAAAGTTAATGATTTTAATGAATTTCCGATTATGAAACTTTCGGAAAATGGGTCTAGAAAGTCTTGAAATGCAGAGATTCAAGTTAATTTCTGTTTTTCTGTAACATGAGTTCAGCTTCAAGTATGCAATTTTTTTATAATCATTATCTGATGTCTTTAGTAAGTATATATAAAATACGTATAAATATAATATTCATGTGGAATTAGTCTGAGAATCAAAGGCAAACTAAACATTTTTGAGTTAACAAATAAATGTTAATTATAAATCCGAAATTTATGCATATTTTTATTAAATATAAATGTGTGGTTATCTGTTGTTAAAGCTCTGTAGTGGATTTCACAAGAAATCTGCTTCTGCTATGCAAATAGATCATTAAGTTTAGAAGTACTGCATCTGGAAAACTTGAGGCTTTTGAAAGCATACTTTGATTCATAGACTTCAATAAAAGTTACATTTGTCTTAATCTATTTCAATTTAGTCTATAAAAGCATTTATCCAAGCATAGATTATTTTTATTTGTATCTAAGATTTTTGGTTAGTTTGGGTTTATTTGATTATGTCAAAGTTTGCAAAGGTCATCTGTCTAAGGGAACAATTACCTTAATGAAAAATTTTCTTAGGTTGAACTTACTCATACCCATATACATGTATCTAGGATGAATAAATTGAAGTGGAAAATATATTTATCTAGGATCAGCAAGTGCTTTCAAGTCCATCTGTTCTCATATTTCTCATGTTGCTTTGAATTTGTTGACAAATAAAATCAACATTAGCTAATCCATCCTGAACTGATGCCATGTGGAATCTGTTCTCATATTTCTCATGTTGCTTTGAATTTGTTGACAAATAAAATCAACATTAGCTAATCCATCCTGAACTGATGCCATGTGGAATTCATATGTGCTTGAGCCAATAGAGTAATTCTCTGTTTTTTTTGGGGGGGGTGCGGCACATAATCATAGCTACAGAAACGTGCTAGGAAAAGTAACAGCTTTATATGTTATGCTTTGAAATGAAGGGGATGTTATGTATGAGAAGCATACAGAAGACATTTGAATTAATACCCAAAAGGTGATATACTGCCGTTTGGCTTATTTGTTGTAGCCGTTAGTCTGTTCATGGCAGATATTCAACTACTGTTATATGACAGGCAAGTTACGTTCATTCTATCTTTTCAATTGTACTACTGATGTAGTGATACATGAAGAAGGGGAAAAATAACAGTAGAATTTTCTGTTGTAAAATATGTAAAAGTATATTAAAAAATTATGATATGGGGGTTCTGTAACTATGCAAAATTCGTAATCTATTTTGTAAACCTTGATTCTTGGAATAGGCCTGACACTCATTTTCAAAGGTAAGTGAAGAAATTTAATTAAAAAAAAATGCAGCCAAATTACAGCAAATTCATTAGGATCTGAAAGGGAAAATTAAAAATTATTGGCCTCAAAATTTGTAGTTTAAAGGTTTAAATGTGATTACTCAAGTTTAGGGGTGATTACTTTCACTTCTTCAAGTAAAAATTTTAGATCTACAGTTAGTCCTCAACTTACAATGAGTGCCATTCCAGTCCTTCTCTTGTAAGCTGATTTTAACATAACTCAAAAACTTATTTTATTCTTGATATCTTTGTTAATATTTTTTAAATTTGGCTTTTATTTAATATAAAATGGTCTAAGGAATGTATAAGCTTACATAACATTTATTTTTATTTATTTATTTATTTTTTTTTTTGCATTGATACATACTATATAAAATTAAGATATGCAGTTCCTTTTATGCTGTTAACAGAAACAAAAACATGCATGCACATAAAATTCTATGAATGCACATAAAATCATGAACCATGAATAATGTCCAAAAAATATCCCATGAATATCTTTAATTAAAAAGGTAACAGGCGAGTGATTACTATTCATGTAGATGATTCGTAGCAATCGAGAACAGTTTCTTTAATTAGAAAATTTGTTAATGTCTTCTTCAGTATATTTTGCAATAGCATCCGAGCTCTTCGTAAATTTGCTTTCTTACTTTTCACCAAAGTAACAGTTTTATATATCATAAATATTATAAGATGTTTTGATTCATATTTTTGAGAATGATGTTTGATGTTTTAATTCATATTTTTGAGTAGCTGAAGTTCTTGATTTAATTTTTAAAATATTTCAGAGGTATTTCTTTTGTAATATATATATTATGATTTCTCTTTTTCCTCCTTATTCCCTCATTTTTCAAAACGTTTGGATTCTTCCATTTGTTATTTAAATGCTATTCGTTAATATGAATAGAAAATTCTAATACATAAATTAGAATAAAAATTAAAAACGAGTTAGCATGCAATATTAGTAATAATGATTATATTTAATTATTTAAATTACTTCTGTATAATAATGAAATTAAAATTTAAAAATGTAAATATCAGTACGAATCAGATGCTGTAATAACTAATTCCATTACCATCAGAGAGCATTAATTCCAGAGGTAAGTGATCATTCTGTCTCGTTATTAATTCACTCATGTTTTATTTACAATATAATACATTGGTTACAAGCGTTATTATTAAGCAAACACCTTCATCATTATTAGGCTTAATACCTTCGTTCTTCCATCAGACTGAAGTGAGTTACAGAATATCAACAGAGACAAGACATTCGGAGCGCCTCTAACAGCACGAGCTATCAATTTATAACATCCTGCCATCCATGAACTGAAATTCATCAGTTAAATTTAACTAATCAATATTATACATTCTCACTTATCAATAACAGCAATAATTAAATATCAATACTACAATTAATATAAAAACAACATAATGAAAATGCTACAATAATAGATAACAAAACAGTAACTAATAATGATAATAATATATAGAATTCTAAATGAAATATTTTCAAATAGACAAGTTCAAATAGTCTTATTTTCTCAGCATGTAGTCTATTCTGAAAGTTCCAGTGGATACAAAAGTTGTATTGGTCGTTTCACTATACCAGATTTAAGTTTCACACTGCATGATCGTATCTTACCATGGCGTCCAATACAGTACAAAATCCGTAATCCGGACTCGTCAGGACTTTGGCGAATACAGATTAGGGGTTTTTCTGGATTATAGATCATCAATTTAGATCTGGTAAGATGACATGCAGAAATTATACAATTTAAAAATATGAAACCGTAATTTATGAAATAAAGAGCAATTATGATTTAAAGGGTATCAAAATTTACAAAAAAAAAAAAAAAAAAAAAAACACCCTAATATTTATTTCTTTACTTTATTAAGCATTACTGTCTATGTAAGTTGTTTAGTTATTTGTGCTAATACTTTCTCTTTAATTTTATAAACAGACATAATTTCTTGTTCAGTTACAAAGTTCCACTTCAAGGTCCTGTAATTGCTGTGTAGAGAATACCGACTAACTTGTGAATCGAAAATTTTTCGTTTTCAATAACCTCTCTGTCACTGTCTTCACTATCGGAAGCTGTAGTTTCTGGATCTAGAACCATACTACAGATTTCACCGTCTGTTAATTGATTGATAATTGGGGCATTGTCATTGCAATGAAAAACTTCTGTTATATTGTCTTCATTTATTACCGCTTCTCCACATTTCTTTACAAAATCCAGTAACTGGAAAATTTCACCTACAGTTTGCGATGTCCAAAGACCTTCAAATTCTCAGCTAGCATCTTCATCATCCTCACCATGAAATATGATAGCTGGCCAAAAATTATGCCAAGCATTTTTTACCGTATCTGAAGACATCTTCCCACGATCTTACGATGCTCCACACAGCAGATTTTATGCTAAAAAATTTCAAAAAGTCTTGAATATTCTTGCCATTGTTCAAGAAATTTAACATAGATTTTAAAAATGCTACTTTATATTTGCATGTCAGCACGAGCACTGTTCCTATCCATAGCTGAATGATAGACACGCAATTTGGAGGGAAGAACAATCCGGATACATTTTCTTTCACTAAAACTTATAGTGAAGTATGCACTGAATAGTTGTCAACAATCAGGACTATTTTTAAGTCATCAGGTAAACCAGCCGAATTCAAATGTCACCGCGATATATAACGGGGAAAAATCGTTACTCCTTTAAATGCTCAAGGTTGTGCATGTTTTCCGATTACGAAAAGTTTGCACTTGGGCATTCCTGCAGCATTTGCACATGCTAAAATTTTTAGTCTCGCTTTGGAATGTTTGATGCCAGTTGGAGCCTTTTCTGTAGAGGTTTGTAGGTATTTTGCGGTACGTACATGTTGCCAGAAAAGACCAGTTACATCAGTGTTGTAAATTTGTTCTGGAGATAAGTGTTCACTAGTAATGAGTTCAATGGATTCATCTGCAAATTGTTTAGCAGCTTCAGTCTCAGCTGAAGCTTTTTCATCTGAAATTTTTAATTGTCTTATACCATGGCGATTCTTAAATTTGGTTAACCAACCTGTTGAATATGTGCACTCAGTGTGTATAAGTTCTTTTCTTCATGAAATATTTTGGCTTGAGCCATTAGCTTTGGAGCCGTCAATGGTACGCCGTCGCTGCAATGCTGTCTGACCCATTCAATCATCACTTTTAGCATAATGAACTCTTTTTCTGTTATTCATTGCAAGTGGAGTGTCGGAATCCACCAAAAATTCAAAAAGTTCCTTTTTCTCTTCTGGTTTATCTTCTGGTATCTCTTCTGGTTTTAGATCTGGGTTTAAGTTTGGGTCCAGGATGTAACAATTCATTTAGCAAAGGAGCATGAGGAGGGTGAGATGAAGCATCAAAAACAATCCTCAATTTCGTTGTATTCTTATCCTTTCGAATTACATGATAATCGGAGTAATATATCGGATTCTGACCTGTATAATTTTGTTCACAGACTGATTCTAAGATTCCCAACGTACAGTATTCTTCTATCACAGATTTATAGTC